TCAGTGTATCTTACCTCTGCTCAGAGAATAGCTAGAATCCTACATTGACCTGGTGGAGGGATCGGTATAACATTATCTAGATGAGCCCCCTTCAGTAAGTGCTCAAAGGAAGCCCACGAGGTGTGTGAATAAAGAGTATGTAAGACATACCTGTGGCAGGCTGTACCACGTATGAACCAGGTATACTTTTCGCCCATGAAAATGATGTGTTGAAATAAGGGCAGAAACATAGGAAGGACCCCATAAATTAATTGAAGGGAGCCCTGGTGTAGAGTGGTTATGGTGCAGTGGACTGTAAGGGGAAGTTCAACCTCAACCAACATCAACAGAACCATGATGAGAATATCTGGCCCATGGTAGGAAGATCATCCTCTACTGTTCTCTTTGGACACAGGGACTGGAAGGGAAGAAAATCTTCTATTCCAAAAACCTGCATGTCCAACACAACCAACACCACTACCTCCCAGGAACTGACATCCAGACAATAGTAGGAAGATGGACAGCAGTGTAGTCACTGGGCATGCTGAAACTATTGACAAACAAACTAGTGGTTAGCCTCAGAGACCCATGTAGACTGGTAATGGAGAGGAAGAATGAGAATGGGACATGGGAACAGGTGTACGAGGAGTTTGAGACAAATGGGGACCCAATGAAGAAAGGGAATGAAGGAGGGAGGATAACAAGACACAGATACAGGAAAAAAAGAGATTGGTAAAACATTATTGAAGTATTGGGATGTGAACTCCATAAAGACATAAGAAAATCCTACTACTGGGAATCCAAGAAAGGAAAATGCAGACCATGTGGTGGTTGAGGCATACTGGCCACCAAATGTAATTGGGCCACAAACCTATTGGCATGAGCCCCAATATCTGGTGAGTGGGGGAGAACAAGATATCAGCCCAAAGGTGTCTCACTCAAAGGGGAAGACAAAGACAAAACGTAAAGTACCAGGAAAGGAGGAGGAGGCCTGGGCACTGCCACTGGAGCTAAACATGATCATTTAGCACAGAAATGGGGGAGGAAACAGGCTGCCGAAATCCACATCCTTGTGTTCAGATACCCTTGAACAAGGCATGAGAAGAGAAACTACAGGCGAATGAGAAGCCTACATAAAAGTAGCCAACTCCCAGTGAACCAGGGTCTTAACATTTTGTGCCGAGAATTGTGGACCCAAAGCTAGGGTAGATTTTTTTTTTTTAAATTAGATTAATCATAGGAGAAACAGCAATGGTAGTATCTGTAACGTGAAACTCAACAAAGAGTGAAGATAGAAAAGTCCAAACAAGGAGCTCTAAAGAATCACGTGTTGAAAGAAAAGACACATAATACTAATTAAACTCAAAATTTCAGAACACAAGTGTAGCAAACGTAAATAAAAACTAAGTTCCCATAAAACTAAAGAAGGAATGGATTAAAACTCCTATAAAGCAGAAGCAAAAACAGCTCTTAACACCATGAGTACCAACCGAGAAGTGATTTTGGGTTAAGCCGCACAGAGGGAGTCAGCTGTGCTGGGAGTTATGCTGCACTCCTATTGGTGGAGAGTTGTTGCAGGCCATCATGCAGCTGTCTCAAATGAAAACATGTGAGGGTAGGAGGGAGTATCAAGGGTAGTGGTGCGCTAATATTTGTGCGTACAGAAGTCAGTAGAAGTCTGGAAAAACTATTCTGTGAGAGGAGGTAAGATACAATATCGGAAATACAAGTACTCGCAAACTTGTGTTAATCTTTGGTTCAAGTTAAGGTTGTATACCAATACTACAGTGGCCATTCAATTACGTTTTTACTCACTTGGCCAAGTTTCTGATTGTGATCTCACCCCTGGGGTGTGTGTCACACCCATGTGGAAGAGATGGTGCAAAGGTTTGTATAAGTTAGTATGAACAGGAAGTTAACCTCCTCTTTGTATACGACGTACAATTATCACCGACATAGGTAATGTATGACTGTGGGACTTAATATGCTAAATATTTTCAGCAGTGAATACCTGGCAGTTTTTATTTTACATAAAACCCTTGTACGTTTTTTTACTAGTAATGTTTGTTTTTTGTTTTGTTTTTGAATTTCGCGCAAAGCTACACGAGGGCTGTCTGCGCTAGCCGTCCATAATTTAGCAGTGTAAGACTAGAGGGAAGGCAACTAATCATCACCACCCACCGCCAACTCTTGGGCTACTCTTTTACCAACGAATAGTGGGATTGACCGTCACATTATAATGCCCCCATGGCTGAAAGGGCGAGCATGTTTGGTGTGACAGGGATTCGAACCTGCGACCCTCAGATTGTGAGTCGAGTGCCTTAACCACCTGGCCATGCCGGGCCCATTTAGTGTTTAATAAAGAAACATTTCACATATACCTCTTGTCCGTTTTTTTCCTATGTTTAACAAAAATAAATTGTCATATACTCTTTAGTTGATAAAATGTTTTTCATTTTTTTCATATCTTCCTCACTCTAATCTTGTACTATTAATACATTTTTTTTTTGGAAAACAGTAAAACTGTGGCTCCACCAACAGATAACTGGAAGGTCTAAAAATTAAGAATTCAATGAGTATCGAAACTGTAAATTTCTTTAATGTAACAAGAGCATAATAATAAGAATAACAGCAAGGTTAGAAACCAGACAAATTTTAAAGTAATAAATATGTTCTTAAATAGGTACTTCAACTAGAAGAATTAAAACACTATGTTTAGGAGAAGCAAATAAGATTTTTTATTCTTTAGTGATAAACACATTGTTCAAATATTTGACCTCTCCTTAAAATGTAAAAAAAAATATATCAATAAATAAAAAGAAACGTTTTAAATATAACGAAATCTGTATCTAGCTGATGTCAATATAACTAAGAGTTTATTTATAGTCCATTCAAATGGTCTTTCTTTACAGCTAAATAATTCTATTTTTTGATACTTTTAACTAACTGTAACCATTTATTACAAAATTCACTAATTTCATTAATTACTAAACTTGCTATATAGTTTTATCTGAAATTCACATATGTGTAATCTCTACTTACTAATATTCTTTATTTAATTAGTGAAGAAATCACGACCATTGATTTATAGCATCTTTCACTAGCCAAACAAATAAATGTACGTACATGTTAATCATTATTTTCTACGGTCGATACGTACAAAAGATATCCCATCTGATAACTGCATTTTCTTCTGCAAAAGCACTTGGAATCTTTATATACTTCTCATGCAAAATTAACTTAAAAACTAAATAATTTAATCACTGTAGTATTAGGTTTCACTCTGTTAGATCGTAAAGGCAAATTTTTATATCCCAAAAAACACATACTTATGTATTGTTTTTAATATGAAAAAAAACAACTTTTCTTTTAAAAATGTAAAATCAAACAGCTTTAAGTAGGTTACAACTTTTTTAATAATAAAAAAAAGAGTCCAGTACTATGACCACATATATATGGCCATCTTCAAGTACAAACATGAAAAATAAAGATGTCAAATGATAAGTTAAATAGGATAAAACTTTACCCTATTGCACGGGTTTATAACATTTATCCCATTAATTAATACTTGGTTTTGATTCTGCTATTAAAACTGTTATTAATTCTGTTATTAATAAGTAATAATTTGTTTTAATAAATTCAAATTTATCAATATTTCTTAATTTCTATCAAGACTTCTTGAATCTGCGTGCTTTTCTAACATAATGTTAAATATTGTGGAGTGGGGGAGGGGAGCCTATTGCATCCTGTTCCCTCTATATTGTCTCCATTTCGAAAATAAAAGGATGTTTATAAAGTTATTGAATGGAAAATCATACAAAGGTATTTTCAAGTTTTTAGATATGAACTCTAATGCTAGAGTAACTGCCTCATACCTAGGTAGACAATGTTATAATATCAAAACTTTCATGATGTTAGAAGAGCATGCAGGTTCAAGAAGTCTTGATAGAAATTAATAAAAACTGTTAGTTTATTTTTGTATCACATAAGCTATTTTTTTTATAAATCCCAGGTAAAAGAAATTAAGCAGTGTTTAAAGAATGTTATACATAGAATCATATAGGAATATAATTGTAAATAATGTGATAATTTTTGAGCTCAAGCACGAGAAGTAGTTTTCTCTGTGACTTTGTGATCTGTTTACAAGTAACATAGGACAGTGAGCTTTATAAAAGAGGCTCTCCGTCCATTCACCTGGCGGTACCTCTACTCTGATAATCTATTTTGTTTTTAACAGATGGGTATCAGATATTATTTTTAAGTCTATAAATGGTATCCACTGAAATATAACGTTTAAAAAAAAAGTTTAAAATGAAGAAAAATTCTCTTCTTAAGGTAGCACTGACCCTAAAACTGGTCAAATTTACATGCTGAAGAAACACATCTTATAACCTTCAATTCAAGCACAAAACAATAGTATTATGTCACAATCTCTGAAAGTACACTTACAGTTATATGTGTAAATGTCATAATTAATGCGACAGGGATAAAGAAATACATAACGAACATGTGAAACATGATAAGAACATGTGAAAATTGATAAACATGCTCTTGGTGAGCATCTTCATAGCTTTAATTAAAACTTGTTAACAAACTATGGGCAATTAATTTTAATTAATGCCTTCGTTAATGGTAATCAGATTCATAACAAGACAATTGGTAAAGATCTTTGAAGAGTGTAATATCAACAAACTTTCAGAGATTGTGACTTTTGTTTTGTGCTGAACTTGAATGTTATAAGATGCGTTTCCTCAGCATGTAAATTTGACCAGTTTTAAGGGGCAGTGCTACCTTAAATATTATAGTAAATAGAAATGAGGAAGGTTTTAACACTAACATATTGTAACTTTAGTCAAAATGACAATTACACCAAGTGCGAATCAGCCCACTCAGTACAACAGAAAGTTGGGACTATTGCCTGTACCTACGATATGCTCTTATTATTATTATTATATGGTAAAAGCAATCTAGGTAAAGAAATAGTTAAATTATTTGAAAACAATCTGTCAGTTTCCAAAACCTGAAATAAAAAAAATCTAAAATGAAATTTTAAAATACTGACCAAGATAATAAAAACTATTATGGGAGAAGTCTAGGAATCTAATCGGACTTTTACCAACATATAGATATGTTACACAACATATTATTATAAAAATTTGGAAATAGGTTAAAGAAATTAATTGATTGTTAAAGAAAGTTTTACCAACAAGTTATATAATGCTATTAAAAAATTAAATAATATATATTTACATCGAGAGGGTTATTCTTCCATTTTTGCTGGAGAGATGGGGGTCACTAACCGAACTCTCTTGTTAATGTGGTCCTTGGGATCCAAACTGCTACCATTTTTATTTTCTAATTCTTCTTCAATGCTCTCTAAACTTGCTATCTGCAGGGATTCATTCACGGTGTCTGCAGGTTCCTCATATTTCTCAAACTGTGTATTGTGACCACCTGTTGCTGGTGATGAGAGGCTAACCGATACAGATTTTACGTGGGCAGAATCCGACTTACCACTCATAATTGACTGTCGTTTTTGTGCTAGCTCTAGAAATATGTTTGTAGCACTGTCATACAGCGGATTCCCTGTAAACAATCTAGGAGCAGTGTATGGTCGTTGTTCGAGGTAGTTAGAAGCTGTAATATCCTGCTCACTTGTACTATGGTGATCATCACCATCGAATGGCAAAGTTTTACAATTTGCTTTCCTGCTAACAGCAGAAAGAGTTAGTCGCTTAGCTCGCATTCTCCTTGCATGCATGTGGGATGCCAGTTCCTGTTGATCATCTCCAATTAGATCTCGATTATACTTTTGATGGTACTGTAGTAAAAAGGAAAAACATATTAATACCTATATACAGTTATATAAAAGAACCAAGTTAAAAAAACTAGAATATGCAAACAAGTTTTGTATTTAGAAATAAAAACGTGCAGTTTGTTTTGAAGTTTTGTCCAAAGCTACACGAGGGCTATCTGCGCTAGCCGTCCCTAATTTAGCAGTGAAAAACTAGAGAGAAGGCAGCTAGTCATCATCACTAATATCACCAGTCACATTATAACACTCCCACAGCTGAAAGGAGGAACATGTTTAGTGGGACGGGATTCGATCTGGGGCTCTGAAATTGTGAGTAACCACCAGGCCATAAAAATATGCGGAACAAAGAAATTAAATCTTCTCATTAGATGGGCTTTATATAAACGTTTAAATGTCAAAATAACACAAAAAAAGTTTTTAAACTCTTAATGAATGTAGAATTATAAATCAAATAAAATGCACAGATGTCTTTACAGACTATTTAAGCTACTCTAACCAAATTGTGTCTCATTAAGATTCAAGCACTGCAGATGAAAGCTTGAAGCAATTAAATCCTTAAACAATGTGTGTGGAAAAATGTCTTTGCATTTTATTTTACTTAAGAAAATAACATGATAACTACTGAGCCTCATTTGTTGAATTACAAAGTCCTAGGTCATGAAATTCTAGGTATATTTTTTTCCTAATGATGTGTTATTATATTTATATATATCTATGAATTTAAACATTCTACCAAAAATGTAACTGCTGATATTGGATTGTAGTCTCTTCCAGAGTTTCTGATCCAACACAAGTTTTTAATGAAAAGAGTTTATAATAGCATTTTAACAACACTTGATCTGTTATACACCACTGCCAATAGGACTTTCTGCCAAATATCCAACATAAAGAGGCCAGTGTATAAAGTTATTAGTTTAAATGTTGGTATTTATATGTTATTTTTTTAGACTATTATAAGCTATATGGAGAAGCATGATACATTGTTTGGTTATAGGTAATGATATCGAATACGGATGCAAGGTGTGTAGTTGTCCGTGCCAATCCAGAATAGACCTTTACAGTCATCAAAGGATGCATACTGCAGATTAAAACTCCTCCACGTCTACGTGATTATTGGACAACAATAATGATATTATATCACAATAAGACTGATAATTTTACCAACATATTTTCTTATTGGCTTAATATAAGAGAGCATTAAGGAGATCAATACAGTAACTTTCTGTTTTTCAGACAGACAGACATTTTGTAATGTCATTCTAATAACATTATTAACTGTTATAAACTGCGTATTGTGGTCAGTTGTAAGTAAAAATAAATTTCAATTATCAAGTCTAGACTAAGATATGTATTCTGTATATAATAGATCTAAGTCAGTTAATAAGATTTTTGTTTATTGTTGCAAAAATTAGATATTGAAAACTGCTTCATTGATATTTTAAGCACCATAAACTTCTCCTGCCTTGTTTCTTAAGTGGGATGATGTTATGGTTTTTATGCAATGGCCTTCTTCCAAAGACTTGTTCTTGATTTCAAATAAGGTTGTATGTTGAACTTTTGGGAAACTGTTCTGACTTTGTAGCCTCATATTGGGATGAAAAATGATTTTGTGTTGATCTTGTTGTCCAGATGAGTAGTTCCTGAATGCTCAACTTGGACAATGAGATAAGACAAAAAAAAAAGATCTTAAATAAGATCTTCTGATTCAGTCGTTATCCTCCAAACTTCATTTCATTCTCAACTTGGACATCAAGATGAACAAAAACCAGAATTACACTGCAACTGCCTTCAAAATTAAGTTAGAACCCTAGAAGCTCACAACAAGTTCAACGGACAACTTAATTTTAGCTCAGAAAAAATAATAATAAGCGGAATAACCAACTAGCAAGTTAACACATAAAAAATCTTATCCATAAAGTTTCTTCCTTTTGCAGTGACACATACAAAGAAGAAACAGGAATATAAGATAAAGGCTAAGAGAACGAAGGGTTTCTGGTAGAGTAACCTCATTACAAACTAGGGCCAATATCAAATCCTGGCTACAGCTCAACATCAGAAAATCGGAAGCGGAATAACCAACTAGCAAGTTAACACATAAAAAATCTTATCCATAAAGTTTCTTCCTTTTGCAGTGACACATACAAAGAAGAAACAGGAATATAGGATAAAGGCTAAGAGAACGAAGGGTTTCTGGTAGAGTAGCCTCATTACAAACTAGAGCAAATATCAAATCCTGGCTACAGCTCAACATTAGAAAATCGGAAAATATTATTAGATTATTCTAAATAAAAATATGCCAACCAACTTTCTATTGAAATCATGGCCTAGCAACCAGCAACACTTAAGACATCATTCAACTCTAATGTAGAACATAAAATTCCAAGACACAGTGACAGACCTCAAGCCTTCTTCAGCATAAATACCAAGATGTCATTACACACCAGAAACGAGGAAATCCATTATAAATGTAAAATCTAAATATGAGTGTATTACATTAGTTTACTAGCTAAATACCCCTACGGTTAACTGTACTTTCTTAATTATCCATTCAACATTTTTGGTATATTCTTCTGACTTATGATATAGGTAAAGGCTCATTCTGAAAATACGTGCAACAACGTACCAATTTTCCTAGGCCAACTGAAAACAAACACAACTCTGATAAAAATGCTATGCAAAACATAATTTATTTTTGAAAAAAAATCGGTTCCTAAGAATGAAAGTTGAATATAAGAATTAATTTTTGCAAAAATAAAACCATCACATCAACCTTTCTTCAAATGCAATTTTGTCTTTTTGATACTTGATATCAAACATCAGAAAAAAAAGTACTTCAACTCACAAAAACAGGAACGATTCCACAAGAATCAAACAGAAAAAATTTGTTTCACGTCATTTCCAGACAAATCTCATTATGTCGCAAACGAGAAATAATTTCCCATCTGCTTTGTACCAAATCTATTAGCTACTACACAGTTAAGCATAACATATAATAATCTTGGGGGGTTTGAGCATGCATGGGGACTAAGACCATTTCATTTAAATTGAATTAATTCTTAGGTTACAAAATCAGTCATCTCTTACTAATGTAATAACAAATCTCAGAGCAAAAATTTACAGCCACTACCTCAAAATCAGAATTTTTCTTAACCTGATTCAAGAGCAGGGTAAGAGAAACGACAGTTTCCGAGTGTCCCCTGTTTTCTCCCATGGTCTCATGGAGAGTTGGAGAGAATTAAAAACCAAAATTACTACCACTAAAGGTCAGTTGATAGTTACAAAATGAAGACTTATACAGGAAAGTTATCCACTACTCTATAAACTGATCATGCCATGTTTTGTACAAACGTTTCTTCACACAACTGAAAAAATATTCAATTAATAAGTTTATTAGCCAACTATAGACATTACGAACCAAGTAAAGTTTGCATTTTACCTTATTGTATGGATTATTTTGGAGTGCCCTAAGTAAGAGATTCGAAGGATCGTCTTCTGTTTCTGGTCTGGTTAACTTAAACGATGATGAGATTGATAGCTTCTGCTCCTTTACAGGTTGGCTTTCAGTATCCTCCTGGCTAGCATGGTTGATTTCTGTTGTATGTAGAGAAACAAATAAAAGCGTCACTCAGGTTTGTTCTATTTTATTTACATAAATCTACAACTAAAGTTACATAACTTGTACAGTTTGATAGACTCAGATAAAAATTATTACTTGATACAAAACATGAAATTGTAGGATAGTTTTTCATCCTCTTAAGTGTCACTGTTAGTACTTTAAAAAGAGGTAGGTGTGTAACTCTTGGGTTTTATGTTTTAATAGTCTTGATCTTTATTAAAAGAAAGTAATAAGATCACCAGTTTATAGTATTTTTCTTTTCTTTCAGCATTTTTAGAAATATATTTTATTATTGTTTTTGTAGCGCTGAACTAATGCATAAATGCATATTCTGCATAACGGATATAACACTTCACGAATACTGTATGTGTATAATTATTAAAGTTAAGTGGGAAATAATAGATTGCACATTAAGGAATGTATAAAAGCATCTTATTAAAAAAAATAATTGAGTTGATTTCACAAACGTAACTGATGAAATCATTCATGGCTGTACAACTAAAGTTCACAGAAGCTGGACCTGATGGTTAAGATGCTTGACTTGCAATCTCCGGAAGGCCCAAAATCGGTCACCAAACATGCTTGCCCTTTCATTCATGGGTATGTTATAATGTGATGATCAATCCCACTATTTGTTAGTAAATAGTTTGTTTTTGTTTTTGAATTTCGTGCAAAGCTACATGAGGGCTATCTTCGCTAGCCGTCCCTAATTTAGCAGTGTAAGACTAGAGGGAAGGCAGCTAGTCATCACCACCCACCGCCAACTCTTGGGCTACTCTTTTACAAACGAATAGTGGGATTGACCGTCACATTATAACACCCCCATGGCTGAAAGGGCGAGCATGTATGGTGGGACTGGGATTCGAACCCGCGACCCTGTGATTGCGAGTCGAGCGCCCTAACCACCTGGCCATGCTGGGCCTTAGTAAATAGTAATCCAGTGAGTGGTACTGACTAGATGCCATCCCTCTAAGTCTACCATTTAAAATTTAAGGATGGATGGTGCAGATAGTCTTAATTAGCTTTATGTTAAGTCCAATACAACAAAAAAGTTCTTAAGTTAAAATAATTGAATTAAGGTTATTCAGATGTAGGTCCAAAGTTCCTAAAAGTTGGAATGATGTCAATACAGGTTTGAGTATGTTAAATTAAAATGATTTTAAATATGTAAGTCAGAAAGCCACACGACGACGACAACTTATGTAAAAAGGTTGAGATGAAATGGTATGAATCAGAATTACATTTTGACATTATTTGGCATTATATAGGTTTATTTATCACCAAAAAGGAACTGGGAAGAATATGTAAGAGTCCCTTCTGATGCAAAAATATCCATACAATTAGATCACATAGTCGTGTTGTGATTGAGGATTTCAAATTTCCAAAACAAATATCCCTTGTATGTAATGACATTAAAAATCAAATAAAGATGACTCAACTAGGGAACCAGGACCATCCAGAATTAGATCTGCAACAAATTGTAACCCAGCCATGGTACACCATCTTATAATAGATGAGAATCAATGAGCACAAGTGACACAGATCAGTGGCATAAGCCATCCACGTGTTCTAGACAACAGTATGCAACATATTCATGATGGGTATCCATCTGGATATGAGGTCAAAAGGATACGAGTTCACCAAGATAAGGCTTCCATCCATACCTCCTGTTCAACCGTTTCACACTTGAAGCAGTTGGAGAATGAAATGGTTAATCTATACGTAGATACCTGTCAAACTGTCAAGACACAATGCCTTTAGATTTCTGTGTGACTAGACTGCTGAAATGGGCACTTTGAAACAACTGTCCTTATACACTAGGTTTATTATGGAAAGCTTGCAGGGAGGAGTTGTATGTTTTGGACAATACAGCATTACAATGGAGCTGGAAACAATGCTGCAAGTAGATCATGACCCAGAATGTGGCGACATAAACTGTAACGTTATGATGCTCTAAAATACTTTTAATATAAAATACTCAACCCTCTCTTATACCATTCATAAATGTAGAATCAAAGTTCCAGAAGTTGGAATATTCAAAATACAAACAATTATGTTCCTAAAGGAATGATAATTCTAAATTACTAGTGAACTAAGAACCAAAATCTCAGTGTGTGTGTGTGAAAATAGCAGTTACAATCAATAATCACTGAATATGTTACAAAACAAATATATGTTTGTCAAGACCTTAAACGAACTAACTGTACAAACACTTAACTAAATTCAAATATTTACATAGCACAATTTAATGTTGACTAAAATGCTATTTTATAACTGATTAAACCTGAGAAATAAATAATGCAGACTATGATCATTAGGTATCTTTACTAGTATCATATCAAAACATTGTCCACTCAGTCCAGAAGACAAGTTTTATTCTTGAAAGAATTTTGTATATAATTATTATGATAAACAAAAAGCAAAAATGTAACACTACAAACTTCTTATGCTGAGAATTCAAGAATAAACATTACACTGTGTCATTACACTAACTAGGCCCAGCATGGCCAGATGGTTAGGGCGCTCGACTCGTAATGTGAGGGTCGCGGGTTCGAATCCCCGTCACACCAAACATGCCAACCTCCGCCTTTGCCTGGTCCCAAGTCCAGGATGAGAAAGGAGGAGGGTTGGGCGCGGGGCTAGCAACTCCACCCGTAAAAACCAACCTGCTACAAGTAACTGCAACAACACCTTCCGTTGGCGAGGTGTTGTTGCGGCCCTATGCTCCACTGGGAGTTTACAGGAATAATATAAAAAAAAATTACACTAACTATCTTTCCTACATGCAAAGATCGTAATAAATATAGCTACTATAATCATTACAAGAGTGTAGGAAATCACTGAAACACATCAAAAGACTGCGTCACAATCTATATATAATTAAAATAATAATATGTGTGTGTACTTGGTAAGCTTTACAAACCTACATACAAACAACATTGCCAAAGGGAAAGGTATTTGTAGAATGGATCTGTCGTCACTAAAAAGCTCCATCTCAGACAGCAGTGTTCATGTGTTAAAGTTTTGTGTGTGAATTTCTTCATTTGTTTATAGACACTCAGAGTACCCGTACTGTCATGCTGTTGAGTTTTGATACCTGCTCCCAATACCTAGGGTTTGAAAGTATCGCAAGATCTGTTGTATCTTTCTAGATAAGTTAATCAGTTTGTCGTTTCTGATCAGGTCATTTAACTCGGTGTCTTTTGTACTAGAGATGTTTGGTGGGTATCACATATTGTGAAATACGTTTAAACCACTTAGGCACCCTGCACGGCCATCAGGTTCGTTCAAAACTCTACGTACCTAATCTCATGTTTGAATAATCCAGACAGGTCACTTAGCTGTTTTAATTACTTTAAATACACAGCACTGCCTTTACATTTTATAATCATTATGCATTCAAATACAAATAACCACAATCAAAGCATGAATTCCCCCAAGTAAAACTTATAACAAATAAAAGAAAATTACTATAGTTATACAAGTGTGTAGAAAGTCACCAAAACAACAAAAAAATACATTACAATAAGACTTATATGATAATTTTCGATATGTAAAGTATCTAATAACATCCTTCCTGCTGTAAATCTGTATACAACCATTTAAGAAATATGTAATTCAAAGTATTATCAATCACACTGTAATGTAACATTACATGAATTACTAACTAATGATCATGCTTTGCCAGCCTAGATGTTACACGTCATATGACAGGATTACTTTATACATCAGAAAAAAATAAAAAAGTGCCTCAAACCAGAAACACGGGTGTAATTGTCCGACTCACCTTGTAACAAGACTTGAAAATTTCTTGTGGCTATAAAGCAAAACAGTGGAAACATAAATGAAGAAACAGAAAATATATAAAATAAACATATCAACTACAACAGAAAAAATAAAATGTACTACGTTAAAAATATTTCATTCCATTAGCTCAGAAGTAAACATAAAATTATGTTTAATAATTTTGATTTTTTAATATTAGTTTAAATAGTAAACGAGAAAGATAAACCAACAGAAGTGAAGTTTTATGTTTAAATCAACCTGCAAACAAACACTTTAATGCATTTTAAAAAAATATTTCAGGCCATGTATTTTATGATTTTTTTTTGGTTTGTTAGAAAAGTTAACTGTACAAAAAATACATTTCTTTAACTATAAGTAAATGTACCCAAGAGTTTCCTTGTTTCTCTGTAAAGAGACTAAATTATGCAGTGCTTTAGCTACAAGTATTAGGAAAAACAATTTATCGCTAAATAAAAATGTTATTTAGGGCTGGCTATTGAACTTAAAAAAAAGGAACCAAATAAGATAGGGATGGAAGTGAATATATCACTTGATCTGGCTAATGATTACATTGAAGGCTAAGCCATCTCGACTTTACATGGAGAATGAAATCCCTACATTACTGCCTTCCCCACTTTGTCTATCGAAAGCTTGGTGTTTGAATAGAATCTCAGCTTTCATCATTATACCTTTCCTTCAGTTAACTTTAGAATACTACTTTTATGACTATTTTACAATAGAGTAACATTTTACAATTGGAAATTCTGGTTCTATTTGTTTTGCCAGTGAGGAAGCCAGTAATGTAGGGCTTATATTCACCATGTAAAGTCTAGAAAGCTTAGTTTGCTACGGGATCATCAGGTGATATGTCAACTTCCATCCCTATCTTGTTTGGTTCCTTTTTTAAAGTTCAGTAGCCAGCCCTATATAAATATTTTATTTAGTGATAAATTCTTTTCATAAAACTTGTTTGTTTATTTTTTTTTATAAGATGGTGTACGTGGGTTACTAGGTTATAGAGTGTATTCTATAGCTTCATAAATTCTGCATAGAATAATATTAAAATAGGTTGTCAGAGATTCATGCTCTCTCAAATGATGATAAAATTATATTTATTGATAGAACTAGGTAGGCAATAGGCCTGTTGATGATAGATGAATGAAAATAAGATATATGGATTTTGGCTATTTGCTGGTTTTCGATTTTGGGACACTCTGGATAATTGAAAGGCTGCATATACATCGGAAATAGAGCAACTATTATAGACAGATCTTCATATCTAGCTTCTGATAACCTGTATGTGTGTTAATGTGGTTTTTTTTTCACTCTTTCACTTCATACATAATGTAGGTGTTGGCTCCCTAAAGACACTGATTGTATAGTGTACAAAGCATTGAGTATTCTACATGTAACAGTCATCTAACGTTCATCTATTATTGGCTGGTAATTCCTGTTTTTCCCTGTACTTGAGCTTTTTAAAGTAACAACAAGATTTCTGTAAGCAAACTAACTTCAAGGGGTAATAACGTCGTTTACATTAGAATTGTGATTTTTTTCTTTTTTTTTCCATATTGCATATAATAATAATAAAATAGGTAGTCAAAGATCATGAAGACTGTTTTGCTCTGTCAAATGATGATAAAAATTATAGTTACTGTTAGAACTAGGTAGACACTAGGCCTGTTGATGAAAGATGATGATGAATGAAAATAAGAAATCTCAGTTTTGGCTATTTGCCGGTTTTAGAACTTTGGGACGCTCTGGATAGCTGAAAAGCGGCATATACACCGGAAATAGAGTGATTATGCTAGGTAGCTCTTCATATCTAGCTTCTGATGACCTGTAGATGACTTTTGTATTGATTTAAAATGGGCATCCATGCCATCCCTACATAGTGAGTGCTAGTATACTGTGTAGTCCTTTAACTATAAGTAAACACACCGGCAAGTTACTATCATGTTTTTCTGTAAATACAGGGTGGCCCAAAATTATCTTTCTTATTTTAGAATTGATTAATTAACTAACTAAAGAAATATATCATGCAGTTTTCAACATTTAATAGCCCAACTCAATTTTTAGTGACGTGTCAATAGACTTCTACACGTGCACCATTAGTGGCTCTCAGCACATCTAACTGATATTCGATTTCAGTCCACATTCACAGCAACATGTCCACAGTTACAGTAGCGATGACATCTGTGATCCTTGGTGATGTTTGCTACAGGTGTGCAATACGCAATATCCTTAACATACCCCCCAAAAAAAAGTCTAGTGGAGTGATGTCTGGCAAATGCAGAAGCCACGGAATTGGCCAACCCTGCAAGCCGAACAATGCATTGAACCTTTCCTTGCACGCTTGTCATTTTACAGGGTAACACTACTCACTGTGAAAAAACATCAATATAAACTATCTGAAGTGAGATACAAGACAACGAAAACTGCATAGTTATTTAATTACTAGATTTTAAAATTAGACTGTACATGAAGTTGCACAGTTTTTAAAAACTGTAAAGTTCCTCTCTAACTACAAATAAATACAAGGATTAATTCCACGTACCATTATGATCCTCAAACAGAAAAAACTGCCATTTATTGAGAGGTCATACTCACCACCAACATGAACTTTAGCACTCTTGAAGGCTACAATAAAAGTACAATGGACAAAGACTTTAGAAACCATTTGTATAAAGATTTTAACAGCTATTTTTCAATAAGAATTGAGCTTTGAACATAAAGCTATCCTTTAAGCTTTGTTTGTTAGGAAAGAAACACATGTATATTTCTCAAATTCCTTGTGATCATCGTATTGTAGTTGTTACTTTTTTTATTTCAGCTTCAAAGGAACATGTATGTTTAAATTTCAAGTTCATTCCATAAACTATTAGTAATCATAATGTGGTTATGATTTTGTATATCTATAATATGCTGCTTCTTTTTTTTTTTAAATCCTTCACTGTGGCAGCAAGTGTTCACTCCCTACGGAGAAATGTTTTTTGATATCATTGTAGTTTTCGCTACACAGTTTCAAAGCCATTAAGACATGATTTCAAAATAGAATCCTTTGTTTTGTGGCATCACATTAATTCATCTTTTAGTAACACTCAAAAATTGATTGTATAACATCTTTAAGTCTACTGCTCTCAGTTACAAAATTTATTCATCTTGATAGACGTACATGCACTGCACGCTATGCAGACATCTAATGTTCAAAACTTACCGGGAATAATTCATTCATGGGGATGTCTGACTTCCCTTCTTTGTGTTATCTTGCAATAATAGTGAGGGAAACCTCTTGAACAAGTAAAAGAATCATTGTCCTATTTTTATTTCAATTTTATCTAGGCTAAATGCTAATACGCAGCTACAGAAATAAAGAGGTGAATGTCAGAAAAGCCCCAGGATTTATCCAAAAACGTCTGTGAAAGCATGTTATCCTGCTGAAGATATGCGTAATGATTTTGCCATGTTATCTACTCCTCACATAACTACAACTTTAAAATTCCACTGGGATATGTGAAGTTAAGGCAAACAAATTGGGGATACAGAAAAAAGAAGGTTATTATGTGTCATAGATTCTATGTACGACCCGCACATACAGACAAACATCATGCCTTGCATTGATCATGTAGCACAATGCAACAAAATGTTAAAGTCACATTAACAATATATGTCCATACAAGAATAAAATAATATTGTTAAATCCTAACTAGAAATCTAATTACAAAAGCAAAAGCAAAAAAAACAACAACACCAGCATCCAGTTATTTAATGAAATTAATTGATTCTTGTTGTGTTTTGATTAACCTTAGCCCCCCCCCCCCAAAAAAAAAAATTAAAAAAAGTATTAAAGGTCCAACAGAATTAATTTACATGGAGATCAAGATAGAAAACTCTGAAAATTCATTAGATGATCAAAAGTTACATTATTGTGTAGATGTTAGAAACAGAGAAGTCAGAATAATTTTAAACTTCATTTAAGCACCAAGGCAATATACTGTTGCGTATCTGCTTGTTTGTTAATTTCCTGTAGAAATTCTTTCCGAGAAACTTCAGCGAAACAAGTTCTTTCTTAATCAAACTAGTTTATTCTTTCTCGATACAATTTTGCAATACACAGAATTTACACAGTCAATATGTTTGCAATCTCGATAACAAAACACACACTTTATATTACCGTCACTACCGCTCGCTTGACTCAATTATCTGTCTCTATATCTATCTATCTGCAATCATATCTCCGCTTTATTTGTCGGGCTTATATACAAAAAAGAGGGCACCTAGAATAGACTAGAGTTGCCAGGAAAAGTCAAGATCCTTCGAGAATCTCATGACGTGTTACCAGCATCACGTGACTTCCACTGTCATAGCACTGCCCCTTCCTTAGTATTGTTCATCCCAAACAATAGCCACTTACACTAACCCAATAGATAATTAACAATAACTTAATTAAATGTACAGAATTTACAAACACAAAATTAAAATTCAACAAAGTC